TCGTGCAGATGTAAGAAAGGTTGTGGATCTGCTTATGGTTTCCGTCAAATAGAATTTAAATATTCGATTCTGTGTTTAAACTGTACTGGGATGTCCCACGAAAACATTCAGGAGCAGATTGCGTTAAACGACGACAATGCAGAAGATATTGAAAACGTTCACAATCAGTTACAAGACGATGAGGACCAAACGTACAATGCCGAGTTTCACGAATTATCCCAAATATCGACTGAGGGCTGAGGATTAGGCCTCTAGGGGATACCGCGTTAAAAAAACGCACCGATCAACTCTACCTCAAGGGTGGTATGGAAACGAGTTGAAAATTATATTTTCTTGTATCATGTATACACAAAAAGAATAAATTTGGCGCCTAGGTCAACAAAAATAAGGAAATATTAACCATATATACTGATAATTACAAAATGTTTATATCGGAATATGTAGGGGCGCGCTTCAAAACATCATATCATTTATTATATACGGCCAAATGTATCAAATCGGGCATCTGCAGACTCAGAAATCATTACTCTTTTAGAAAAAAAAATATTACATAATTGTTTTATAGCGATCTTCGTCTTAATCCACACTGAAATTCTCATTTTGTTGAACATTGCAAATCAACCCCCTACTTTGGCGCGTTGTACTATTGGTCGCAGACAAAAAAATGTGAAAGTCAAAATTGTGCACGATTTTGTCTTTTACATATTTCATTTGAACTTTTTTTGATAGCACTTACCACAAATATTTACAATATTTAAAATTGTTGAACTTTGGACATTTAAGTCATGTCACAGTGATTTTATTGAGTAGGCAAAAATACACAATAAAATTTCCAAAATTTTATTTTAACATCAACATTTCAAAATTCACTCACACGACATGCATATTACAAAAAAATGGCTAGAATTACAGGATTGCCTTTCTCTAAATGCGCATTCAATAATATTTATTTATTCGTTTGTTCTGTATTTTGAGGAGTATCAGTTGAATTTTTTGGAATTTTTGTAAACTCATCTGTTTGTGTTTTCTCAGGTAAAGGATCTGATCCTAAACCGACTGTATTTTTTATAACAGAAATAATGCTAGATAAAGTGCTGGTGCTTTCAGGTTTTGAATTATTCTCTGGAGTTACATCTTCAGTTTTATCCTGAGAATTTGATTCTTCTACTAAACTTACATCTTCGTTTTTATCATTGTTATTTTCCTGTGCAACAACAATAACATCAGTTGGAGTTTGTGCTATATCTGTTTCTTCTTTTACTTTGCAAGCTTCGGTGAGAACGTTAGTCTTTTCATTTGCCGAACTCTTATCTGGTTCAGTTTGTTTATCTTTTTGATCTTCAATATTAGGAGTTGAATTTTCTAAACATATCGTGTTTTCCAATACAGAAATGACGGTTTCCAGATGGTCTATTCCCTTTTTGGCATCAGTTAAAGCGTTATAGTTATAGTTTGTTTGAGATTCCAGTTGGACCTCTTCTTTTGTACTGTCTGTATTTTCTAGGACAGTTAACGTTTTATCATCACTTGATGTGCTGTCTTTGGTTTTGTCATTTTTAACTGAAAATAAATTACAAAATGATCAATAAATGGTACAACGGCGTATTGGTATAAAAAAATAAACTATTTTAAATAATCATAATTTTTGAAAAGTCAAAATTTTTAGTAACAAAGTCAAAATGTTAGAACTTCCCTTCGTCGCGCAGCGCCACCTTAGTATTTTCTACCATATATCCCTCCCGACCCAGTACCGTAATAAATACCGTCCTGTCTGCCAACGCAAAAAGGAACTGGGAAATTCTGTGCCAGGCCCTAGATGAAGACGTGTATGGTAACGGGATATAAAATACCCGTCAGAAGCCTCAAAGGGTTTACAACCCCTTACGATCTGTCGAAAAACAACAGACAGGGAGATAATAAAGAGACTGTTCCTCACCAACGTGGATATACTGGTAAGGGAAGAAGTGTCTACCAATTTCGAAGAGTTCTCAATAAAAGAAGTGCTGGAGGCTAGTGACCTCACGAAGGAGAAAAAGGCCCCTGGACTAGATAGAATTTTACCAGAAAGTGTAAAAACCGTAGTAGCAGTAAATCCCCAGGTGATGCTGAATTGATGAACAACCTGCTGACGTCGCAGAGCTTCCCAAAGTGTTGGAAGACGACAAATGTCTGCCTTCTTCCGAAGGCAAAAGAAAATACGTATAGGCCAATCTGCCTAATAGATACTCTCGGGAAGTTCTACGAAATCCTGATAAGGGAAAGGCTCGCAAGGGAACTAGAGATAAAGGAAGTAGTATCCAACCAACAATACGGTTTCAGGAAACGACATTTCACAGTACAGGCGATAAAAAACGTTTTTAGACTCACAGAGGAGGAAAAGTGGACAGCAGTGATACTTCTAGATGCCAAGAACGCTTTTAATACGGCAGTATGGAGCATTATCATAGGAAAGCTAAGAAAGGCTGACGTAAGCAAATACCTGGTAAATATAATAACGAATTACCTGACAGAGAGAACTATGGGCATCCGAAAGGATGAACGTATGGAAGTTACGATGGGCGTTCCACAGGGCTCAGTTCTGTGACCCACTCTGTGGAACGTTCTTTATAACGATGTTTCACAACTAAAACTCGAAGACGGTTGCCACGTAGTTGCCTACGCGGATGACCTAGCACTAACAGTGGCTGCAGAAAGTCCATCGAGGCTTATGCAGAATGCAAACTGCTCCTTAGAAGCGATAAGCGAATGGATGAAGGGACGCAATATCCAAGTAGCTTCAGAAAAGACGGAGGCCCTAATATTAAATGGAAAAAGAGACAGGTCGTGGATAACCTTTAAACTAAACGGTTTAAATATAGTACCGGTAAAACAGGTGAAGTACCTTGGGATCTGGCTCGATGGTAAGAAAACCATTAGTAAACATGTGAAGAGGACCATGGTAAAAACTGGAAAGACCATTGCAGCTTTAAACAGGATTTTGCCAAACATTAGAGTTCTAAGGTATAAACAAAGGGCAGTACTAAACGGGGTCGTACAGTCGTTATATGGCGCACCAAAATGAAGCTCGGTTCTGAGGTACAAGAAATACCGTAACATGCTTCTCAGCCTACAACGAAGAAGCCTTTTAAATGTTATGCAGGCCTACAGGTCGGTATCCAGCGAAGCAGCGCAGACTGTGGTGGGTACACCCTCCATAGACCTGTTGGTAATGGAAAGGGAAGCAATATATCTTGGTGGTGGAACCGAGGATATAAAGAAGGATGCAAAATGGTTCAGAGCACTGGCAAGAAAGGTGAAGTAAGCAGCAAACTAAGGCGGCCTGGATCAGAAAAAACATACCGCAAATAAATCTTTAGGTAGAGTGTGGCCACAAGACCACTGGGTACTACTTTACGCAATTCTTGACAAGGCACAGCTGTTTCCAAAGTTTCGGTAAAAAGATAGGAAAGATCCAAACTAACGAGTGCTACTACTGTGAGGAAAGGAACACAGTGGAACACACAATCTTCCAATGCCAAAAGTGGCAAATCTGGAGAACAGAACTGGTGGGTACAGAAGGAGATCTATCACCAGAAAACATAATTGGCAAGATGTGTATCAACAAAACCAGCTGTAAAAGCATCTATGATTTTATTGGTAAAGTTATTAAAAAAAAAAAGAAAGAGAAAAAAGGTAAGTACAGGCAGCATAGAACGTCCATAACACCATGAAGACGATATCCAGATAGGATGATACCATGATGTCACTGGAGAGGAGGGGTTTTTAGTGGGTAATATCTGAAGTCGCGAATCCCACATTACCACTGCCGAACATCATGCAGCGGGTGTGCGTAAAAGCATTTCCCCTCCTCTAAAAAAAGAAGTCTCAACCCAAGACGACGCTCAACGCTGCGACGTACCCAAAATCGACACCATCACAATGCTAGATAAAATTAGTACATAATATCCACTTTAGACGAACCTAATGTCTGTATTTTCAATGTTGAGTTGAAAGTATAATGAAATTTTCTTGAGATATCGCTAGGGTCCCGTTAAATAGGAACCGGGACATTTACTTCAAAATATTATCAATATTTTAGAAATGTACAGAGATGTATTATCTTAGATAAATTATGCAAATCTAGATGGTAAAATTTATTAGTAAGTTAACCAAGTGGTTAGCTCAAGGGGGCACTATAGCCACCTATTCCACATGCAAATTATTACGTTACATTTTAAAGTATGAAAAATAAAAGGCTTGAAATATAAATTTTGTATGGTGTTATTTACCAATTTACACCCAACTTTGCATCGGATCCTGGTTTATCTAATTAACATTATCACAACGTGGGTATATAAATGATCAATTAATTAATTAATTAGATTATCACTACTACTACTTCTACTATAGGAAAAATGACAAATGAAAAATACAAAGTATAGAAATTAAAGTAAAACCAAATTGAAAGGTAAAGAATAAAATTTTAGATTTAAACAAGACTCAAAAATGGGAAAACCATTATAGGAAGACAATATACATTAAAATAGATATAACAGGACTCATGAAGGGGTGGGTGGCCCAGTGGTAGAGTCTCTGCCCGTGGATCCAAGGGTCCCAGGTTCGAATCCCACAGTTGGCCGGGATTTTTTTATTTAATTTAATTATTTAAAATTAATTCTGATGCCTTGGTAGGATTCCCCACTCGACCATTCACTGTTGGGTTCTAATTAGCAGTGCTGTTCCTAAAGTGGCGCTGGGAAACAGTAACAAAGGACTACACAGAACACGGGGTTAATAACCTTAGCAGTCGATGCCGATGACACCAAATTAAAAAAAAAAAAACAGGACTCATGATTAGGCAAGTACCTAAAGAAACACCTTAAGAACATAGGCGAAACACCTTAAGAACATAGGCGTGTACAATGGGGACTAAATTAGACAAGCCCAGAAAAAATAAAAACTGCAGGATTCAGTGTTTTCTTTTTTTCTCAAGTCTCGCCAAAACCATATAAAAACTGGAACCTACAGCCTTCAAACAAAACTCTTCTCAAATTCAACCATGAACTTCATTAGAAGATGTGTATAGTACACAATAAAAATAGTTAACCTTATGGATCCGTTGGAAGTTTAAAAACATACCTTGATCAGCTGGTGGTTGTTCGCTGTGAAGACTTTCGTCAGTTTGTTCATCTGGCTGAACGACACTTCTGCTTTCCTCTTCAGTTTTATTTTTCTCTTCGGCAATGCCTTCCTTCAAATCATCCACCACATCTTTGGCGAGTTCTCTTTCGCTGTATCTTTGTCGTAGCGCCGAAAAGAGGCACAGCTGCGTTTCGTATTCCCTTTTCAGTTCGCCATTGTGTCTGATCATCTGTTCCAATTTCTTGTGCATCAAATCGTATCGTTCGTGTTCGCATTTCATCTTACCCTCAATGGCGGATATTTTGTTTTCTAATTGTTTTATTTCCAAGTTACGAATTTCTAGAAGGTCTTTGGTAATGCGAACCACCTGTGTATTAATAATACGAGTATAATTTAGTTTTAAAAAAATATCGGCATTATATTGTAGTACAATAAAAAAAATGTTTGTTTCCAAAGAAAGCTTTTCACGCGGTCCAAAATTAGGAAGTTTAAAACCAAATGATTCGGTGATGGAATGTAAATGATCTTGAATGTTTACTTGTTTTTATATGATACATTAAAAAATTGAGATTAATTATGAAATCAGTAATAAATGTTTTATATTTATTTTTGATACATTTTTTTTAAATTTGCCTTAGGCCTTTGTAGATAGCTTGCGAGTTACGTAAAAATTGTCAATAACTCTTGAAAGGTTTAAAATATTGCGAGATAGTATTTTGAATATTAGAAACATGTATATGCAACAGAGAACATGTATGAATATGAATGAAAAGTTACATTATTGCTCACAACCTAAGCTAATAAAAATGAAATAGTCAAAATATTTTAAGAATATACATTTGTTAGTGATTTTTCAATAGTCCAGTAACTAAAAGATCAAACCTGTAGAAAATTCGCTGATGAGTTCCCACATAGCGCAATTTGTAGATCATCGCAGGTGTTTTTAAACGAGAAAATCCTTAACCCGTTCTTGGTACCGGAAGGAGCTGAAAATGGACCCCTAAAAGCTGGAAAATATGTTTCCCGCTAATATCTGACTGAATATGCCAATTAGAGAATTTTTGTTCAGTCAAAAAATGAAGATCAGCTTATTATCTACAAAAATGGCTCTTATCATTTTCTTCGAAAATTCAATAGTTTTCCAGATAATGGCACTCAAAAGTCCCCTCATTTCAGCTGCTGCTCTACCTGCTGGAATTCCGCTTTCTATGAATTAACGTGTAAGCGGGCGAACGAATTGTTCCATATCTCGGGAAACAATTGATATTTTTCGATGATTGAAAGTTCATCGCCATGGGAAAACCCGTAGCTACAATTCAATGTGACTTAAAGTCCGTTCCTATTTGCCAAAAATATTTAAAAAAAAGCGGTCAAAGTTTTTTTCAACAATATTTAGAGACTGTTTCATTAATTTATTCATATTTTCTTTAAAAATAGTTATTTATTCTAATTTTGCTTTTATAATGGGACCTTGGGGGGTCTTGAATGATCTCAGAATTTTTTTTGTAAAACTTTTCTTGCATTTTAATACAAAATTGATTTGTTTATTTACATGTTTTAGCCGATTTCGGAGTTCCATAGAATCTTCGGAACAAGCGCGAATTATAATCTTATGATCCGTTATATTGATTTCCAATGCACATCATTTTAAAGATTAGATGGTCTACTTTTCGAATATATTTTTTATTTTTAATAGAGTCTAATAATTTTCAAGAAATGAGGAAAATTGATACACGAGTGAAAACCGGCCTTTTTTTGTTTAACCATTTCTTGTTTCCCGCTCTTTATTTTTTGAGGATTAATAATTAGATCAAAGTAAAGCTTGTATTCTGAACTTTCCATTGATATAAGTCAATCCCCATATCCGTTCTTGGTTCTAAAAAGGTTGTTACAATTATATGCTTTATTTTTACGCTCCCTCTCTGATATCCATGATGATCCAACCGTTAGAACAATTACACCAAGTTTTTAAAGTTGAGGCAAAATAAAACAAACCTTATTTTCTGCTTCCAACAAAAAAATCCTTGAATATTCTTTCTTGTAGACAAGAATAACGTGGAAATTTCTCACTTTAAACACTTCTTCTTTTTTTATAACTGAATTAATTTAATGAAAAATATTTATTTTATTTTAAATAAATAATTCAAAATAAATAATGAAAAAATGTCATCAGTACATCAATAATCCGGTAAAGCCGACGACTCCAAAACAGAGATTGTCAATATCATGGATCTCAGAGGGGGAGCGTAAAAATGAAGCATATAATCATTGTAACAACCTTTTTAGAACCAAGAACGGATATGGGGATTGACTTATATCAATGGAAAGTTCCGAATACAAGCTTTACTTTTATCTAATTATTAATCCTCAAAAAATAAAGAGCGGGAAACAAGAAATGGTTAAACAAAAAAAGGCCGGTTTTCACTCGTGTATCAATTTTCCTCATTTCTTGAAAATTATTATACTCTATTAAAAATAAAAAAATATATTTGAAAAGTAGACCATCTCAGCTTTAAAATGATGTGCATTGGAAATCAATATAACGGATCATAAGATTATAATTCGCGCTTGTAAAACATGTAAATAAACAAATTAATTTTGTATTAAAACGCAAGAAAAATTTTACAAAAAAAAATCTGAGATAATTCAAACCCCCCAAGGTCCCATTATAAAAGCAAAATTAGAATAAATGACTATTTTTAAAGAAAAAATGAATAAATTAATGAAGCACTCTCTTAAATATTGTCCGCTTTTTTAACTATTTTTGGCAAATACTAACTGACTTCAAGTCACATGGAGTTGTAGTGTTACGTGAAATTAATTTTAAATTAATTTCAAATTTATTTTTAACAACTTCTCCATAACCCCTCGTAACACAACACATGTATGCTTGCCCTATCATTATTATCAATATCGATTTTTAAAAAAGCATCGTTCGCGCATGATCTGCTAATGTCGGCGCATAGCCCATAGCGGTTCTTTTAGCAACCAGTTCATATAAAACCTAAAACTGTGAATTAATTTTCCCTTTCTGGTGTTTAAATTCAAAAGTACCTAGCTGTGCCAATAAATATAATAAAATGAGTTTCTAGTAATTATCTTTAATTTATGTGTATCGTGTGAACGTTGGGATAACTGTCAGGTAAATGTTTTTCTTTTATTCCCATTTTTCTGGATTTCGTTGCAAAACTTAAGGTCGGCCATGTGCTTTTTTTATTACCACCATGCTGATGAATGCCGGCTTCTATATTTTATTTCATTTTATATAGATTATAGCTACCCTAACTAATAATATTTTTAAGCTTTCTTATATACAGGGTGGCCACTTTTTCATTGAAATGTATTGCTATCTCGTAAACCGTTGGTAACACAAAGTTGGTTAAATGGGGAAAAAGTTGCATATTTCGAAGTCCAATCTGAGGGCGTTTTGAAAACTAAAATATCAGGTCCGGTTTCCGAGATATTCGATAAAAAACAAATAAGTACCATTTCTTTATTCCGCTACAGAACGTTTATTTGCAAAAATAGACAAAAACTCATTTGGAGTTTTTTGTTTTATATCAAATTGTGCGTATGATAGCGTATTTAGTTTTTTTATCCGACGTTTCGTAAATGCAGGACCACCATCAACTTCTTTATTTGAATATGGACCAATATTTTCCTGGCTCATAATTTTAATGCATGTTCAATGTTGAATACAATGATGTAATAACATATTGTGATTAGTCAACATTTCGGAAGATTTGAACATCATCAGGTAAGTTTACAAGTACGGACCTGTGTTTTGTTAGTTAAAAATATTTGAATTAGTAAATGATGTATTATCAGTGTAAGAAATCAGGTACGTTTACTTGTACAGACCTGTATTATAAATTATTTGAAATACACAACTACATTTTAAATGCTTAAAATAATTTAATTAAAAAAAATATGTATTTAACAACTTAATCACGTCAGAAACAAATAAATGAAAACAATGATTAACCATAAGAGAAAAACTACAGTAGTTGCTCAAAATGTCCTTCTTCTTCTTCTTCTTCTTGAATACATAAGTCAATACGGTCTGTCATTTGAGCTATGCTGGCAGATACCATTTGTGGAGTGATATTATTAAACGCATTAATTATCCTATCTCGTAATTGATTTAAGTCATTTGGAATACCATCATAATATACTTTATTTTTGATATATCCCCATACAAAATAATCCATAGGATTTAAGCAGGGTGACCTAGGGGGCCATCGAATAGGTCCATGTGTACCAAACCACATCGTGGGAAATCTTTCGTTTAAATAATTTCTGATTAATGCAGCATTATGTGGCCCACAGCCATCTTGCATAAAATAAATATTTCTTCGATCACCTAATGGAAGATTATCTAACATATCTTCTAGCAATTGTAAATAGTTGTGTTGGTTGAGGTTTCCGTCAATAAAAATAGGACCAATTATTTTATTATTGAGTATTCCACACCATAAGTTTATTGAAAATCTAATTTGGGGTCTTACTTCTTGAATTAAATGTGGGTTGTCGGTGGCATAAAAATGTTTATTTTTTCTATTAAATATTCCACTATTAGTAAATGTCGATTCATCTGTCCATAAAATTCGTCCATGAAAGGATACATCATTATTTAATTTTCGTTTATACCAACGGCAAAATTCTATTCTACGATTATAATCTCCAGGATGTAGCTTTTGTACAGTTTGGAATTTGTAATCATGGTACTTATGTTTTTTAAGAATGTTTTTCACAGTACTTGCAGAAACTCCACATTCTCGGCTTATTGCTCTAGACGACGTTTCAGGGTTGATATAAACTTGAGACAAAACATTTATTTCATTTATTGTATTACGTTTTAAATATTTACCACGTTTTTTTTCAATATTTCCTTCGTGAGCCATATTTAACGCTATCCTATAATAAATTAATAAAGATGGTTGCCTCCTTCCTGGATACAACTGCAGGTATCTTTCTGCAGCTTCTCCACTATTTCTGTTACATTTTATGTACACATCGTACATATCTTTTTTCTCACTTCTACTGTAACGAACCATATTTTCAATACCCTAATTAAAAATATACCAATGCTTTTATCCGATACCAGACTGTCAAATATACAATAATAAAATGTGACATGCCAGGTTAACTTGATTTAAATTTATCTGTATAATAATCAAGACGTGTTGCTAGATATACAATTATTATTGTAAGTAGGTATCTATCTGCAGTTTGTTAACTTTTTCTTTTTTATACTATGAGGAACCATATCAGTTTAAAAAATCCAACAAAATATGACAAATCAGGCTAACTTTATGTATTTAAAAATCGGGATGTACTTTATTTATAGATTAATATTGGGATTGGTCAAGTGCAAAAACCATAAAAATGGAAAATATTTTTTAGCAAATGTGTAAACGAACATGTTGTCTTGATGTGAAGTTAAAAGTTTGACTTTGGTATTTATTATTTATAATCTCTTACAACGATAATACATCATTTACTAATTCAAATATTTTTAACTAACAAAACACAGGTCCGTACTTGTAAACTTACCTGATGATGTTCAAATCTTCCGAAATGTTGACTAATCACAATATGTTATTACATCATTGTATTCAACATTGAACATGCATTAAAATTATGAGCCAGGAAAATATTGGTCCATATTCAAATAAAGAAGTTGATGGTGGTCCTGCTTTTACGAAACGTCGGATAAAAAAACTAAATACGCTATCATACGCACAATTTGATATAAAACAAAAAACTCCAAATGAGTTTTTGTCTATTTTTGCAAATAAACGTTCTGTAGCGGAATAAAGAAATGGTACTTATTTGTTTTTTATCGAATATCTCGGAAACCGGACCTGATATTTTAGTTTTCAAAACGCCCTCAGATTGGACTTCGAAATATGCAACTTTTTCCCCATTTAACCAACTTTGTGTTACCAACGGTTTACGAGATAGCAATACATTTCAATGAAAAAGTGGCCACCCTGTATATATTAATATAAATGTGTTATCATTGAATTACTTTGATATATACGCGGGGAGGCAACTGAATAATTGAATTACAAGTCAGTCTGGAAATACAGTTTAAACGGAAATTTATGTCTCCTAACTTGTTTTTGCCTTATAAATATTTTATATTTATTCATTTTCATTTTATCTTAAAGTACATCTTGGCCCGCGAACAGGTCAAGCTACTCTGATTTTATTTGTCCTGGTCAATTTTTGAATCCACGCATATCAGCAATTTGCGCTTAATCACTTATTAAATAAATTGACAACATAGAAATCTAGAAAAAAGGCAACAGTAGCTACGGGTTTTCCCATTGCGATGAACTTTGAATCATCGAAAAATAACAATTTTTTCCCGAGATATGGAACAATTCGTCCGCCCGCTTACACGTTAATTCATAGAAAGCGGAATTCCTGCAGGTAGAGCAGCAGCTGAAATGAAGGGACTTTTGAGTGCCATTATCTCGAAAACTATTGAATTTTCGAAGAAAATGATAGGAGCAATTTTTGTAGATAATGAGCTGATCTTCATTTTTTGTCGGAACAAAAATTCTCTAATTGGCATATTTAGCCAGATATTAGCGGGAAACCCGTTTTTCAAAGTTTAGGGGTCCATTTTCAGTCCCTTCCTGTACCAAGAACGCGTTAAGGATTTTCTCATTTAAAAACACCTGCGATGACCTACAAATTGAGCTACGTGGGAATTCATCAGCGATTTTTTTACAGCTTTCGATCTTTTCAGTCCTTCATTCATTGGACTACAATGAAGGTATTTGATTATGCAATATAATTGAAATTGAAATGAATACATTTTCTTGTTAATTTAAATTGAAAAATGTGTTTTCTGACACACAAAAAATTACTACTTGTATAAAAAGTGTATTTGTAAACGAAATAAATAAAAATTGATTGTACGCCTATACTCGTATGCATAATGTTTTGATATGTATGAAATTACGAGTATAAAATTTTTGTCTGAAAAACCTCTTTTTTTCCTATTTGTGAACTGAATACTACTATTCTTAATGTAGTTAACAGGTTTTGGATGGACAGAGGAACGAATATGTACCTACCTACAGAAGAATGTGTTAGGTATGTTACTCGTGAATTATTACCTCTTTCAAAGATTCAATTTGTTGAACGAATGCCTCAATTTGAAGCTCCTGGTTCTTGATGACTTTGGTCCTTTCGAAAATCAAACTTTTTGCTTTAGTCAAAGTTTTCTCAGATTCCATTTTCATGGAGTCGACATCCTGCGCTTGTTTATCGTGCATTGATTTTAATTTTTTCGCTTGGGCTAGCTCTTCCTCCATCTGTGACATGAGCATTTTGTAAACCTGGATCTCCGCATCCTTTGTCTGAAAAAAATATTTTTTTAAAACCATTTATTAAAATGTGGATAGGTATATATAGAAAATTTGGAAGACGCGACGTATGGATTTGTAACTTACTAAAAATTCCATATGATAACGATTAACGATAACGTCAGTCTTTCAAACTAAAAGTTCATTATTGTCATTTTATACATATAGAGCTCATTTTTGTTTTAACACATTTCCTGCCGTGTTTTTATGAAACTTTGCCACTTAGAAAGTATTTGAGCAAAATTTTGCCATTCAACGGAAATAATTATTAAAATATAAAATTTTATGTTTCGAGTGTCTCGTGACATTCACCAATAAATACAAAGAATTTAAATTTTGTGTCTTAAATAAAGTTGTTCCATTGTTTGTGATAGGCTTCTTATTTCATAAAGAAAGGTACTAGTTCCCAGTACATTAACCTTTTGATTTTGTAACTCCTGTACACGCCAAACTTCCCTGATCGGCTTCATAACACCAAGTGGATACATTTTTCCATATACTTCACCCTGGGCGATGGGACATTTTCGCGCTAGTTATTTGTGAAATTGTCGTTCTGGCGTCCATAAGGAAGTTGATACATACATGTACTTGTAGTTTTAATGTAAACCGACAGTTTAAAATATTACGTTAAAAATATCAGTTTTTTCGGACAAAAATCACGTGTCTTTGGGGGGTCCGATGCCCCCAACATGTCTCTGTGGCGTCACTAACGAATTTGTTACGTGTACTGTAGTTTTAATGTGAATCAACGGTTTTTTTATGTAACAATAACGAAATCACATTTGTCGGACAAAAATCACGTGGCTTTAGGGGAGTACGACTCCCCCAACATGTCGCTGTGGAGTCCCTAATGAAGTTTATACATGTATGTCCGACAAAAATAATTTGCAAGTGCACTTAAGGTCAGTCACTATTAGCACCGCTCTTATTTTGACATCTGAGCATGCGCAGATCACTTACATTCTAGAACTGACTTTAATAAAGATTGTGCCTTAATTGTGAATATTTATGGACAGTTTTTTTTTAGTTTATATTGACCCTTCATAAGTTTTTTCTAGGACATTTTATTTTCCTTATACTCTGCTATAGGAGTTATCCTCCTTTTCAGGGTGAGTTTAAGGACAGCATATATTGGCGACTCTTATAGTTTTCGGGTGCGCTCGCCGACACTCGTATCAGTTCGAAGTTTTTTAATATTAAATATTTAATATTATCGTCATCTAAACCTTCTAAAATGGTAATTTCTAATATCTCTTCCATATTATGTACTATTATAAACAACAAAAAAGATAAACTGTAATTTAAAATTTTTAAAATGAGGTTAGAAATATGTATAAGGACAAGGATTCTAATATAAAAATTTTAGGTTTGCAATAAGTCTTATTTTAGCATAGAATTTATTTGCCTCTAATTACGTTGTCACTATTAGTGGCTAATGCCAGATAGTGACAGGTTCAGGTGCCACATTTTCGCATACAAGCCTCGAAGAGGATTGAAAATACATCGATTTTAAGTAGAATGAGAGTAAATTTATGAGTGGCTCTTGGGAATAACACATGGAAAATTAGATTTTCCCCTACAAAAATAAAAGGTTATTTGTTGACCATATTTCCACGCAAATCGTTTTCACTATATGATTAATTAATAGAAATAGGCTTCGGGAAACCAAAGACTTTAATGTTGCAAGTGGCTAAAGAGTTGAAATAAGTGCGTAATCTTCTAAGAAAAACTCGAGATTTTACCAGATTTTTCCACACAAGCCCATCGAATGTTTGAAAACGTACATCGCCACTAGTCCGAAAAATATATTTTTTTGAATGACCTGAATGTATAAGTGCATTTTGTGGTCGGAAAATTTTTCTGAAACGGAAAATCGAATGTTCCATGTGGTATCCCCAAGAGCCACTCGTAAATTTTCTTTTATTCTACTCAACATGGATGTACATTTCAACCCTCTTCGGGGTTTGTATGCGAAAATGGGGCACCTAAATCGGTCATTATCTGATGGTCTATTATAGAAATTTCCAATCCTATATTTCTAATGTCTGAGAAAAAAATTGAGTTATTAAAGTCAGTCGGATGACAAAATTCCAAAAAAATAGTCTTTAATGCTGGGTGATCGATCAAATCAAATACAATAGTTGATAAGTTGGCCATGGATACAAACATATAGTCTGTTGCAATTTATAGTAGAACATCGTCTCGCTTTACACATGAATTAGCCGGAACAGGTACGGTGCTCCCAAATAGACTTTAAAACTTTATGTTTTTTGTTTGGGGAACAAACATGATAATATTAATATTTCGTAAGAATGTTTGTCAGATTATATTGTGCAATGAAAAAGGTTAATGACTATGAGGTACAGAGATGTGAACTGGTAAATTACCAATAAATTACCGTGGTAATTTACCGCAATTTACCAGAAATAATTTAAAGTAATTTACTCGTAATTTACAAAGTAAATTACCGATTTTTGTGACAAAAAATTAACATTATTTACCATTATATACGGTATTTTCTTGTAATTTACCATATTTCGCGAAAGCAACGCTGACCTTCGGTGAAAATAAGCACTGGATAACTGCTCTTCATTAAAACTTCCTCAAGACATCAGTTATTAAATAAATTACTAAACACTGAATATGATCCGTGAACGAAAAAATTCATACTGCTAAGACTGTAGGGATTCAAATTGATGGTTAGTCTAATATTCGCAATTAATCTACAGTTAATGTCTTCCTTACGATAATTTCAAGATTTTTTAATTATAGAACTGTTTGTTCTTAGTTTTTAATCGTATATAGGTACTTTTTTAAATAAAACATATAGTAATTATTTCAAGTTGAAGTTTTATTATTTTGTTCGGATTTTTAAAAATTTGTCCGGAATATTCATTAGGAATGTCAGGAAATTGTATTTTGTAATATGGTAATTCTTTTCTTACCACACCTGAGCCAGTGTTATATAAAATAGTAGATACGAAAGCAGCTCGTCATGAAGCAACTTTCATGTGCAACATTATATCCGAAGTAATTGATGAAATAGGCTTAGAAAAAATTATATCAATTACAATAGACAATGAAACATGACAGTTAGCTGTAATTTACTTGCAGAAAAGTATTGCCATTAAACAGGTCTAAAGAAGCCCTATTTGCTAGAGACTTTGTATGGGCCAGTCTAAAAAATAGAAAACTGTCAGCAGTGACTTGGTGGAAATCTATTTGTTCAACAACAAAGTTAAGCAAAGTAGCTGTAGAAGTATTAAACTGCTCACCGTCAACTGCTGCCTCAGAACGAAGCTTATCAACGTATGGAAATATCCATACAAATAAAAGAAATCGACTAACAAATGAAAGGGCACAAACTTTAAATATAGCGGAATATTCATCCGATTCATTACAATCTTCTTTGGAGTCTGAATCTGAATATGAACCGACTGATCTGAAGTAGATAGCGAAACTGAAATAGATAAAATAGTTGATTTAGAGATCTCATTTAGTCCAGCTCATTGTGAAATGCCAACGTAACATATGCACAATAAATATAATTAATAAAACATAAGCTTATATATTTATAAAATTAAAATAAATTTATCTTATACAAAGTACGAGAAACTTAAGTTTTTTTTAGATTAAGCACCTGCACAAACAATAAAATTTCATTTGATGTTTTGTTTTGTTTTGTTTTGTTTACTTTCCTGTTTTGTATTATTTAAACCTGAATTTAAATTATATTTAGTAACAAATAATTAGTTTATGCACAAAAAAGAAACAATTCTATGTTCGACACATACACGTACATACCTTAATTTCATTTCGAAGTCATTATTAGTCATGTATGTGTATAAAATATATTACGGTAAATTACCACAGTAATTTACGACACAAATTTATTACCAGGAGAATTAATTTTGGTAATTAAAACCCGTAAATTACCACCGTGAATTACCAAAAATATAATTTACGGTAATTTTACATCACTGATGAGGTATCGTAAAAAAATAATTGATGAATTGAAATTTAGTATTTGAAATCTCTGAATAATACTAAAGGTTTGATAAACAATTGTATTATTAATTTTTAAAAAAAAAACTATTTCTATTTTCGTATTCGGAAAAACAGATTGTCTCAATAACATTGTAATAAAATTGAAAGTACCTAATAAAAGTGTAAGGTACCTGTAGGATTAAAACATTCAATTTCAGGGTGTGCCTTTTAACCAGCGGATTAAAGAAACAGGTAGTATTCACGATATACCCAACTTAAAGTAGGATGTCGCGCACAGCGGGCGGTCCAACGTTACTCAGCGACTGTGCTTACCAGGGGCTGGTAACTCAAATGGAAAAACATGAGAATGGTAATTTAGTACCACTCCAATTAATGGGATGGCGCTCTTATCGAAATGTCATGTCAGTTGTCAGCTCGTCAAAACTTCAAACTTGGAGAAATTAAAATTGCTAGGTATTGCATTTGAAGGTGTGTATTGAATTTTGATTCATCTGGAATCTAGATTTATTTTTCAATACCTTCAAATTTTAAGCATGTTTTCAAACGATGGGAAGATGGATTTCAGCAACAAATAATAAAGCATTCCCAGATATTGGCAGTGATGCAATTTATACCACATTAAATATGCAGTCGTCATATTAAGGATAACCAAATAATTTGTAATAAGTGCACCATCACTGTTTGGCACCAACGGTAAGTAATACTTACAAACTTGTTTTTGATTCAGTGTTAAAATAATTGGTTTGTTATTTAAATTTCTTTTTGTTTTCAGTTTTTAAATAATCATTGTTGTAAGAAAATGTTGGCCCTCCAAAATACCCGATCGATGAAATATTTGAGCCTTAGCCATCAGTATCAAAAATTGATTTAATACCATTGACATCAAACAAGAAAACACCCTAAAATCTTCAAGGGTCCAAACGTGTGTAAGATTAATTTAAGCTCAACAGTTAAATTCATTTATCACAGTGCCCACATGATGAATA